TAATTCTTCTCAATACCCTCCCTCATTTTTTTTCAGGCTACAGCAATTAACATGTTTCAGGGTATAAGTATAGTCTCAAGATTCAAACTTGAAAAATGTTGCTTTCATGGATGAAATATTGGAATTGCAAATATCTAAATGAATGTAAATAGCGAACATTCAGTCGCCATAATGTCTATTTTGAATACTCGTAGTTTAAACACATATAAACAGGACTTCAAGATAGTCCATAACTCGGCTTAGTATACAATGTAAACGCTTAATCTCACCATAATTAATCTAGAATTCTTTTTTCTTATGTAAGTTAAAAATACGACCGTGATATACCAGTGACAATGCTTATTTCTATGATAATGATGATGATACAGCGAGGATGGGTTAAGTTTTAAAGAAATATTAAGATGTTTTTCGTTTGAGTGAAATATAATATATGTTCACGAAACATGATAAATTTCCATATATTTTCACGAGCTGGAAATCTTAATTTTACTCTTTAAAAAGAACTTCCGATTTCGAAGCTTTATAAATTCGTTATAATTATTCCTGACAAGTTATATGACCGTATATAAACGATTGTTTGCAATATAAACCTCGCCTGACGGCTCGGGTTATATTTACAAACAACCGTTTATATAAGGTCACGCAACCTGTCTAATATTAAAAAATATTATTTTCAGTGGGTATTCACTAAGTTCACTTCAGTGTTGTTATATTTTTCTGGTCCTTCGGGATCATCGATGCCAGCACTATTAAGTGTTGCGAATAGAGTACCGCTCAAGCCGGTGCTAGGGGTTGTGAGAGATGTTGCACGTATTCATTATCCCTCATGTGCAGACTCAATCAAACCGAGTCAGCAGTTCTCTTGTAATTTTGTTGTGATTAATGCTTCCGAGGGATCACTTTGTTTCCAGATTTTTATATAATCTTCTGTTAATATATGGATAAATTTTCATTTTGTCTTTAACAAAGGATTAAAAAAGGATTATGCATTACAAATTTAAAGTAAAAATATAACAGCTGGTGTTGGCAAGAGCAAAATATTTCAATCTGTTACGTTAAACAAACAAAAGTTCCATATATTTCATACTTATCTGTTGTACTACTGATTTTTGCAGCGTAACGTAATGCATGTTTCTTCATGTCATTAAATCATTACATCACAGGTAACTTTTCGAAAAAAGTACCGAGTTTTGTTACATTTTTAACATTATGCACATGCAAATATTTATTTATATTGTCTTGTGCAAAATTACACATTTCAGAGTTTATTCCTTTCGATGCTTCAGTTATTATATGATTTTTTTTTCATCTGCATATAAATATACGTCTTCATGTAAACTAAAAGAGCTCTTACATATGTTTGATATGTGAGAAAAAGAAATAAAATATCATATTTATGTAGGTTCATCATTTTATCAATAAGGTGATATAATTCTCATTTTTTTGTGTATTTTAAATTCGAAGTATTCTTCCTTTTCTACCAAACTGATATTAACGAGAGCTATACGACACCTTCAACGCAACCGTTAATAATTGGGCATTTTAACGATTATTCGTTAATTACGAGAGTTTCGAGATACCAGTGAAAACCTTAACGAGAGGCTTACGACAGTCGTTATGCTAACGATAGCTTCGAGATACTGACCCAGCTGAGAATTCAACATTATAACATGAAAATTGTAAAATTTTAAATTGAGAAACATCGCAGGTCGTTCAAGTATCACCAGATAAGGGTGTTCCGTTTGGGCTATGCACTATAGTACAATGGTGAAAGCGCGATGGTACGATGATGAAAACACGACGGCCCGATGATGAAACAACGATGGCACGATGGTGAAATCACGATGATGCGATGACACGATAGTAAAAATAATATTGCGTTTTCGTCATAATGCCATCGCAGTTTCATGATCGTAGCATCGTATTTTCACCATCGTACCATCAAGTTTTCATCATCGTGCCTTCGTTGTTTCACTATCGTAGCATCGTTGTTTTACTATCGTACAATCGTTGTTTCACGTTCGTACCATCCTGATTTAAATTTCTTGAATTAGAGATATTGGAATTAATAGTTCCAGTGTGTTTTAAGAATTCATACAAGAGGGCCATGATGGCCCTGAGTCGCTCACCAGATACAACTGCTTTTCAGAGTTGGAAATTATCCATTGTCAATATTTTCTGATATTTAATTTGAACATAGAATTTGTTTAAACAATAATTTGAAGAAATGCCATGACCTGGGGCATTTAAGCTTTAGCTTAAACGGAGCCAATCAAATTAATATGAGCAAACTTCATAAAAGACTACCCAAGAATGCTGCAGACAAAGTTTGGTTATCATCCATCAATTACTTTGGTGATCATCTATCAATTAGTTCTCTAGATATAGATGTTTATAAGAATTCTACAAACAAAGTTTGGTGTTTATCCATCAATTAGTTCTGTAGAAATAGATGTTTAAAGGTATTTCTATTTTAAGCGTTAGCGGCCCCTAAAAGAGGCCAATCAAATTAATATGAAATTAATATGATCAAAATTGATAAAAGACTACCCAAGAATGCAACAGATAAAATTTGGTGATCATTCATCGATTAGTACCATAGAAAAAGACATTTAAAGGTTTTTCTATTTTTAGCTCTAGAGACCCCTAAAAGGGGCCAATCAAATTAATATGATCAATCTTGATAAAAGACTACCCAAGAATACTACAGACAAAGTTTGGTGACCATCCATAAATTATTCTGTAGAAATAGATGTTTAAAGGTATTTCTATTTTAAGCTTTAGCTGCCCCTAAAAGGGGCCAATCACATTAATATGAGCAAAATTGATATCAGACTACATAAGAATGCTACAGACAAAGTTTGGTGATCATCCATCCATAAGTTCTGAAGAAGAAGACATTTAAAGGTTTTTCTATTTTTAGCCCTAGAGACCCCTAAAAGTGGCCTATCAAATTAATATGAGCAAATTTGATAAAAGACTACCCAAGAATGCTACAGACAAAGTTTGGTGATCATCCATCAATTAGTTCTCTAGATATAGATGTTTAAAGGTATTTCTATTTTTAGCTTATGGGGACCCTAAAAGGGGCCAATCACATTAATATGAGCAAACTTGATAAAAGACAACCCAAGAATGGTACAGACAAAGTTTGGTGATCATCCATCCATTAGTTCTATAGAAGAAGATGTCTAAAGGTATTTCTATTTTTAGCTCTAGAGGTCCCTAAAAGGGGCCAATCAAATTAATATGAGCAAATTTGATAAAAGACTACCCAAGAATGCTGCAGACAAAGTTTGGTTATCATCCATCAATTACTTTGGTGATCATCTATCATTTAGTTCTCTAGATACAGATGTTTAAAGGTGTTTCTATTTTTAGCTTCAGCGGTCCCTAAAAGGGGCCAATCAAATTAATATGAGCAAACTTGATAAAAGACTACCCAAGAATGCTACAGACAAAGTTTGGTGATCATCCATCCATTAGTTCTGTAGAAGAAGATGTCTAAAGGTTTTTCTATTTTTAGCCCTAGAGACCCCTAAAAGGGGCCAATCAAATTAATATGAGCAAATTTGATAAAAGACTACCCAAGAATGCTACAGACAAAGTTTGGTGATTATCCATCAATTAGTTCTGTAGTAGAAGATGTTTAAAGGTTTTTCTATTTTTAGCTCTGTTGACCCCTAAAAGGGGCCAATTGAAATGACATGAGCAAATTCAAGTGTGACTGTCACAAGGATGCTACAGACCAAATTTGAAGTAAATCTGCCCAGCGGTTTCAGAGAAGAAGACGATTGTTGACGCATGACGACGGACGCCGGAGTATCCCCCTTTGATACTAATAGCTCACCCTGAGCCTTCGGCTCTGGTGAGCTAAAAAAAGCAGTAGCAAACCTATTGATGATTACACTCGACACGAGGTAAAATGGTGAACCTCGATTCTAGAAAAAAATCTGCCGTGGGAAAATAATTGTGACAAATAATTCATAGAAAATGACATGAGACAAATGTGCTTTCTTGTCCATTAAAAAAGCTTGGTCGGAGCACATTTGTCACACAAATAAGTTTTTTTTTTTTTGGTAGACATTTGAGGTCCCATTCGAATATATAAGTCTATGTAAAAAGTGATTTTAAAGGCCAGGCTTATTTTGGCCTTTGTAGAGGAAAACAAGATAGCTATATCTCAAATATCTGTCTAGGACATGATGTTTTATATAAAAAAATCTCACCCACCCCTGTAGTTGGGCCAAATTTCATCCAAGGGGCATGATTTGCATAATTTGTATTGAGGGCCACTTGGCAATGCTACATGCCAAATTCTAAACTCTTGAAATCGTAGTTTCACACATAAATATTCAAATGTTTACTACGCAGGACTATGTGAATTAAATGCCCTCAGAATAGGGGTAATTTTGACCATTGGGACACGATTTATCTAGCCACTGTGGAGAACATGTGATGCTAAATGAAATTTTTTAAGCTCTGCCAACAAGAAATTGAAGAATATTTAAATACATTGTATGTTTCCTGTTTAACTTTATGCCACCTTTAAAAGTGATCAACTTACCTTTGGTCATGATTTATATAACACAAGAGAACCACAAGGTAATGCTACAAAATAATTGGCTAAATTTCTCAGCTCTTGGCATACATGTAGTAGTTTATGAGGAGAGGATATTTAAAGTTTATTTCCTTTACAACAAGACAAGAAAGTGTCACAGGTCTGGCAGGGCCATCTTTCACCACATGGGCGATTGATTAAAGGTTAAATGCATTTTTGCATGTGGTGACACTATGAATGTTCTCAATGATGTTTAAAGTATTGTTTAAAGAAGCAAAAATGGAGATCTATTAAGGAGTCAGAGTAAACAGGTTTATTTGTTCATGTTTCTGTACTGTTTTAATTATCTAGCAACAAACCATACTATTATGTGAATGAGTTTTAAATGTAATTTTGGGAAGTAACATTCAAGAAGTTTTAACAAGGTAGATTTTATTTCTGTTATATCACATCTTAAATCTCCTTTGATTAGTCAATAAAAAAGTAGTCTTCCACTTCATGCATAAACACTTCAAAATTGACATTTTTTAAATAAAAGTTATACTTTTTATTAATGATTCTCCAATCACTTATAGAACCATATTCAAATCTGTATCAGACTTAACTATTTTTTATCATTTTCTTAACTTTACTCCAGCTGTATCTAATGCTCTTGGAAAGGCCAGCTGTTAATATACCCTTCACACTCTGACTCCAGCTAGATTTGTTTACTATACTTGCTATACTTCCAAAAACAAAGTCATTACATTTACTATCAAATGCTATAACGTCTACAATTTCATGTCTGGGGATATCTGGGTTTGTTTTTTTGCATATATCCGATAGCTTATCAACCACAACATTTGGTACATGATTCAAATGATAACACCTTGTTTCCTTGCTCTGAGTGTGCATAAATAATTCTGATTCCTCACTGTATGTTAAATATTTTGTTTCATTTAAAATTGGTTTATAAAGTTTATTGAAATAAGGCAAATTTGGCGCAACGATCTTAGACACTTTTCCTTTGTCCTCACCAAATTTCATTCTAAAGTCACCACTATAGGAAAGGCTGGTTATTGTCATATACAGTTCATTGGCAGTAAAATTTTCAGGCAGAAGTAGTAGCGAGGAATGAACAGCACTTGATAGATTTGTGTGTAATGCTTCGATAAGCTCAGTTGAATTTGGTTTCTTTACAATCTTCACAGGTTTATGTAAACGTCCACTAACATACAATGTATCCCAATTCAACAGGTCAGAAATCAATACATCTGTACCAATAACTCCATACTTTATAAGTCTCTGTTCAAATGGAACAAGCGTATTGAAATATATTCCAGCACCATAAGAATTCTGAATCTTGGACACTGTTTTGGCTCCTAGATGTTTCAAAAATGAGTAATGTTTAAAATTTTGTTCCATGTTTTCTCTATGCCATTCTGTAGGATTGTCAACGACCACTATAAAATCAAGCATGTTTTTTGACATATCTGCGCCTGTCTGTTGAAATACACCAGATCCATATGCGAAAGCCATTTGTATTCCTGAAGGAAAACCAGCCAAAACTCTTTGGAACACATCTTTCTTTGCAACTGAAGCCTCAGAGCAAAATCTTCTGCATAGTACCATCTTTGTGTTTGCTTGCAAAAAAACCATCTTTGTGTTTTGTAACTTTTAGAAACTTCCAAACTCAATTAATTTTGTTTTTGAAGTAGATATATGCTTTATTTAAGCTACATGAAGTTTATATCTCTGATTAAACAAGGATTTCTATTCTGATTTAGTAAAAACACCAACACCTTTAACATCTTTACGTTTTAACATCTCAAGCTGTCTCAAACCTCTTCTGTAACATTGTTCAATCTGGAGTGTATTTGTACGAGGAATTACAGCGTTTTTCTTGAATTCACTTCTCACATAATCTCTGAGTCCAGGTTGCGTTTTTGAGAGTCTCATAAATTCACGGTACAGACTTAAAACTTGGACCTGAATCTTGCTGTGTCTAACCATTCTCACAAAATATCACATTGATCTACCATATTTCCATGGAATTTGCATTCAATAAATTACATGCTCTCAGGATCTGAAAAAAAAACAATAAAAAAAACATTATTAATTTCAATTTTTTTTTTTTAATTTACAAGTTCAGTTCAACTTAAAAAAAATCAAACTTTTCAATGGTCTAAAACTGTGCATAAAATTTTTTTTTCTTTTATATACTGTGATTGCTGTCTTTATAAAATTTATTTGTCAATCCCTGCAGTGCATTAATTTATATTTTCTTTATTATCACTGATTATAGTTTATAATCATGATAATGTATTAATCCATTTTATTTTAATAGCAAGCTCTAAAAGCTGGCCTGAAGGGCTTGGCCTGAAGGGCTTGCTTGCAAAGCGAGCTTTACAGTTACATGAGTACCTGCTGGATGGTGCTGGTTTTGAAAACTTTCATCCGAAGCACTGAATTGACACATCTCAACTTTTAACATTACAAGATAACGATAAAAGCTGAGGTATTCTGATTGAAAATGGAAGCATAGACTGATGTCCTGCACACTTATATGGGAACCATTATAAGACAGGGAGCCAGAATAAACAGAAGCAGTGTATAAAATATCAGAAAATGTAAAACAAAAATGAACGATTATTTTCTACTATTTCACCGAGCTCGCTTTGAGCTCGCCTTTTTCATATTAATGAATGAACTTTAAAGATGTTTATAGACAGCCTTTATTTTAAAGTTAAAGTCACTGCAAGTCTTTTCCATGAAAAAGAAAATGAAATAACGTACTTAAAAAAGTAAAACAAATTATTAATTTTATAGCAGCTGACCTCCAGAAGATAGCAGAAAAACTGCCGGCTTGCTAATACATGTATTTCAAAATCCCCCCTCAAAAACATTATATAGTTTAAAGAAATCGAAATGACACTTCAAAATGTTCATATTTTAACATTTTTACTCTGAAAATAAACAGTTTGCTTTTCCACCAAGGGGAAATACCTTCTTTTATTATACCACGGAATTCTTTCATCACGGTTTTTTTCTAGCATCACACCGGAACGCACAGAATCCTGGATTTTATGAAACATATAGGGATACAAATAACTGGTTTGGTTTTTATATTTGTAGTAATTCATGGCACTAAAATTATTAATGATTAATTATTCTATATATATGATGACCAATTTATCGATTTAACCTTTAGCTTGAAATGTGATAGGGGCCTACCATAGGAACTCGAGAACGGGACCGCAGATTGCGGCGTATATATTCGATCGTGTAACATTTTATAAAAACGTTTCTGCTACATTTAAATATCTTTTAGTATAATCCGAGTGTATGGACTCAAAAAATATATTATCAATTGAACCCAATCTGTCTCTTTTAAAACTGGTCAAATTTTACGGTATTTTAAAACAAGAGGGCCATGATGGCCCTGAGGTCGCTCACCTGTATATAGGCCCCCCACCCCAGGGCCAATTTTTACCCAAGGGCTTTTATTTGTTTATTTGAACAGACTTGGTAGACACCCATAAGAAGATGTTTCATGCTAAACATCTAAGTTCTAGCTCATTGGCATTTTTAAAAGAAGATTTTTAAAGTTTTTACTATACACATATAGTTAAAAACAATGCCACCCCTGGGGCAGGGCCAGTTTTGACCCCCGGGCGTTTATTTTAACAAACTTTGTAGATATTTACTTAAAGATGTTTCATGCTTAATATCTAAACTCTAGCTATTTGGGTTTTTCCAAAGAAGATTTTTAAGTTTTTGCTATACACATATAAGGAAAATCAATGAACCCCCCCCCCGGGCGGGGCCAGTTTTGACCCCAGGGCTTTTATTTGAACATACTTGGTAGACACCCATTAGAACATGTTTCATGCTAAATATCTTAGTTCTAGCTCTTTGAGTTCTTTAAAAGAAGATTTTTTAAGTTTTTACTATATGCATATAGGGAAAATCAATGACCCCCTGGGGCGGGGCCAATTTTGACCCCAGAGCTTTTATTTGAACAAACTTGGTAGACACTCATTAGAAGATGTTTCATGCTAAATATCTTAGCTCTAGCTCTTTGGGTTCTTTAAAAGAAGATTTTTTAAGTCTTTACTATATGCATATAGGGAAAATCAATGACCCCCTGGGTCGGGGTCAATTTTGACCCCAGGGCTTTTATTTGAACAAACTTGGTAGACATTCACTAGAAGATGTTTCATGCCAAATATCTAAGCTCTAGCTCTTATGGTTCTTTAAAAGAAGATTTTTTAAGTTTCTACTATATGCATATAGGGAAAATCAATGACCCCCGGGGCGGGGCCAGTTTTGACCCCAGGGCTTTAATTTGAACAAACTTGGTCGACACTCACTAGAAGATGTTTCATGCTTAATATCTTAGCTCTAGCTCTTTGGGTTCTTTAAAAGAAAATTTTTTAAGTTTCTACTATATGCATATAGGGAAAATCTATGACCCCCTGGGGCGGGGTCAATTTTGACCCCAGGGCTTTTATTTGAACAAACTTGGTAGACATTCACTAGAAGATGTTTCATGCCAAATATCTAAGCTCTAGCTCTTATGGTTCTTTAAAAGAAGATTTTTTAAGTTTTTACTATATGCATATAGGGAAAATCAATGACCCCCGGGGCGGGGCCAATTTTGACCCCAGGGCTTTAATTTGAACAAACTTGGTAGACACTCACTAGAAGATGTTTCATGCCTAATATCTTAGCTCTAGCTCTTTGGGTTCTTTAAAAGAAGATTTTTTAAGTTTTTACTATATGCATATAGGGAAAATCAATGACCCCCTGGGGCGGGGCCAATTTTGACCCCAGGGCTTTTATTTGAACAAACTTGGTAGACATTCACTAGAAGATGTTTCATGCCAAATATCTAAGCTCTAGCTCTTACGGTTCTTTAAAAGAAGATTTTTTAAGTTTTTACTATATGCATATAGGGAAAATCAATGACCCCCAGGGGCGGGGCCAATTTTGACCCCAGGGCTTTTATTTGAACAAACTTGGTAGACACTCACTAGAAGATGTTTCATGCTTAATATCTTAGCTCTAGCTCTTATGCTTTTTTAAAAGAAGATATTTTAAGTTTTTTCTTTTGGTTGCCATGGCAACCAGAGTTCTGCATGGAATTAAATTCTTTGAACAATTTTTAAAGGTGACCACCAAAGGAACATTCCTGTGAAGTTTGGATGAAATTGGCTCAGTGGTTTATGAGGAGATGTCATTTAAAGCAAAAGTTTACGGACGGACGGACGGACGGACGACGGACGGACGGACGCCGGACGAAAAGCGATCACAAAAGCTCACCCTGTCACTTTGTGACAGGTGAGCTAAAAAGACAAGGAGTGACATCCGCCATTTGCCGCAACGTTTTCGGCATGAGTTTTTCCCCTTTGACTACAATTGATTACTATTTTTTCAGAATTTTGTTCCCGTTATTTTTGTCAACTATCAGGTATCGTCCGGATATAACGTTAACGGTTTATTGTTTACACGTGTTGACATGTATAGGCGGCATTATAACGGGCGTATTCGTGTATTGATTTGTTAAAATGGAGAAAACAGACACTTTAGGAATATGGTCCAACTGATTTTGCCTAACTGAAAAAAGGAATATTAAAACATGATCCATAGATAAATATTTTAGGCACTCATCTCGTATTCATTACTAGAAAAATTAAAACAAAAATCAAGCATATCAAGGGGGATAACTTACGCCGAACGTTGCGGCAAATGGCGGATGTCACTCCTTTTCTTTTTTCAATATACCGTAAATTTGACTGATTTTTAAATTAGCAGATTATATTAAATTGAGATTAGATAATTAAAGACCACCCGCTCGCATAATATGAAAAGATATTCAAAGGTCGGACAAACTATATGTAAAGCCGGTAAGGATTCGGATTTATGCGCCGCAATATGCGGTCCTGTTCCAGAGTTCCTATGGGGCCTACTAAATGACGAAAATTGATAAAGGATCCTGGGCATACCGGATACCAGGATTTTTCCGGACCACTGTTAAATGAATTATCTTCTCCTATTTATATTGGCTACTGCGTTAGTAACGTAGTAGATTATGAAAAAGAAAAACCTGATATATTAATGCTTTTGTCAACATTTTTTCTTGTATCAAGGTGTCAGTAATGATGGATTTATACAATAAACCTAACTAGATCAGTATTTACTGTTTACTTGAAATTTTATTTAATCTTTTTACATTTTATCATCTGGGGGTCAGTGGCTTTAACTATGTGATTAAAATGGGGACGAATCGTCTGGGGTTGAAATGTTAAGGGTGCGAAATTATCTGTATAATTTGTGTAACCTTCTGCTTTTGAGTTACATTTATGGGGGGAAAACGGATCATTTTAAAACAAAAAATCTTACTAACCTGTAAATATTGGTAGCATATGGTAGGGGAATGGTGAAGCAAAGAAACGTATTTGACCGCTGTCCCCACTGGCAAGACTTTATGACAGAACACCGGCTTCCAATTTCCGGTCTCGACTACAACAACAACTGCACACGAATATTAGTTAATTTAATCTTTTCAACGATAAATAAACATGTTCAATAGAAAACTGATTGCTTTAAATCATCATCAACCAAAAAACTTCAACCCGGAAGGTAATTGCATTAGTGTTATGCCATTTTATACTTATATTCGCTTTATCACTTTTGTTGCAGTTTTCGGATGTTCAATAATTCGACCAGGTGACTCGAATTAATGTCAACCCGGCCCCAAGTCAACCCGGCCTCAAAATTTGTCAACCCGGCCCCAAAATTGGTCAATCCCGCCCCACGGTATTTTTATTTGGTCAATGCGGCCCGAAAATTGGTCAGTGCGGCCCCAAAATTGGTCAATGCGGCCCCAAAATATATATTTTTCAAAGAAAACTATATAACCTATAAGACATTTTGTTGTGTGATGGAATAAAATTGATTTATTATTAATTGAAGATTATTAACTGTAGAAAAATAATATATTGAGGACGTGTTTTCCAGTTTGGAGGATCTCAATACATCCGACCAACTAGAGCCTTTTGTTTTTGTATATCAGAAGGACCTGGCTCCAGTCAACTGTGTGGACTGTGGAGAACTGGTCTGTCTTCGGCAGGGCTGCCGATTTTCCGCGGATTCCCGGAAATCCGCGGATTTCGTGAGCTGGGTCATTTTTGAGATTGATGTAAATTCGACAAAGACAATAAATTCATTCGTCATATTTTATACAGTCCCCAAAAACCGGCACGCTTTGGCTTTTATCGTTACGCTAGCCGCCTATGGTACATCTGTAAGGGCTTTTCTCATTGGTCAAATTGAGTCTTTTCCGGCATTCTATTTTAGAATAACCAATCAAATTACAGTTTACATTGTCGCTCTTGTCTGTTGTCAAAATGCGTCAAAATGTCGGATATTTGTTTTGAGGGCTGATGAAAACCTGAAGTCCAACTAAAGTGTCTCTGAATGGCTTTAAAGGCAACCAAGGAAGTCAAATTTAGAGTCCAGGAAATTGATTTTAGGGCATACCAAATCATCAGAATCCAGGAGCTTCTGCTGGCTTCGCCCCCTGGGCCCCCACCAGGGCTCTGCCCTGGACCCACAAAGGGGGCTTGCGCCTTGCACAGCCCCCTTGACACCCGGAGTATTTTCCTCTGATTTTGCAATTTGCTGTTGGCAGCCGTGCTTCGGAGAGCCAGTTCGAACAAACAATGACTGCGAAGGTAAAGATTATAATTAATAGTTAAATCATTTAATTGTGATTTTTTATATAAATTTTACATTAATACAAAATTATACATAAATAAATAAATGTAATAAGCCAAAGGGTTAGGCAAAAAGTTCATAAACAATCCACCCTATCCTTTAGGTTTTTTTAAATTTGTATAATATATATATACGTATATGATGAATGTATGTATTATAAAACGTTCTCTCTTTTACAGGTTGGCATCGTCGCCTGAACACGCGTGCAGGTGTCTCTACTCCTTTCTACACTTTGGTGAGACATCTGCACAAAGAGGCACTTGAGGTTGAGGCTCAGATACGCCTAGTATCGGAAATGAAGTTACGAAGACTGCAGAGAGCAACGTACCGCTCAATGCAGTCGAAAATCTTCAGTGCCTGGGATAGGTAATACTTATTTTTTGTATGAGATAATACGACAATTTCATTTTTGAATTTAATAAAAATGGTAATTTGAAGTTTCGAACAATAATTGAAGAAATTAACTTGAGTCATGTACCATTATTTTGCTAATTTATCGTTTAGTACCAATTTAAACTAGTTACACTGATAACTATCTATAACTTTTTGTTTTGTTTTATTTCACAGATATTGATCGAAAAAGATATCTGCAACCGCCCTGTTGAAGCTTGTGTCCACCATGTACAGACCGATACTAGGTAGAAGAGAGGCAGAAGAAGACGACGAGTGAAGTGTTTGTATGTGATGAACATTGTAGGGGTGTGTCAGGAACATTGTTGAACTATACAAAATACAAGTTGCTTGTGTGTTGATATTGATAGTTGATATTGATACTTTTTATATAAAATAAATAATAAAAGATATCATCATTGAACTTTTGTTTTTGTTGTTAATTTTTATCTTATTTCTTGATAAGTGTTTACATTTTAAAGCAAAATAAATAATATAAAAAAATGGGGCCGGGTTGACCAGAAATAAAATTGGTTCGGAGCCGGGTTGACCAATTTTGGGCCGGACTGACTTGGGGCCGGGTTGACTTGTACCGGGTGACTCTGTAGATTTTATGTATACGATGTTTGTCATATTGTCCTATGCAACAAAATACAATTGGGGAGGAACTAGGGCCTGACTTAAGCGCAGATTGATTTGCTAATTCACTGATTTGTAAATTTAACATTTACATATTATGATTATGTATATATGCTGATAAATATTGAACAAAAATATTATTATAACTTCAATAATAAGCATTTTTAATATTATATTGAAAAGGTGTTTGACAAGTTGTTTGTATGATTATAAGATATTTTTCTGCAAAAAGCAATACTAGTATTCTAAAAGTTAAACAGGCTGTTGAAAATGCCTGATCGGGCTTCTGACATAAAAAATCAATATTTTCTAGAAAAATAATATAAAGATATGCATTTCTTTTAAACTATGTTTGTTTATTGAGCATATTATATGACATAAACAGAAAGAAAAATAATTGTTTTTTTTTCACTTTTGTGAGAATTATTCCCCCTTTTTCATGTTTATATGACCCATAATTTTTTAACACAATGAAGTCCTTAAAAAGTATGGTCCAATGTAAGATTCTTAACAGAAATGTGTCCAACATCTTCATTTTGCTCAAAATTATTGCACCAGTACCTTTATTCTATATATTTGGATATAATATTCTGTTTCTGGCATAAATACTTTGACGAAGTTTCCTTTGAAAACTGAATGAAATGTATGCTGACAGGTGTTGGTGCAATGAATTGGATCATAAAGAAGTTATTTAACCTATTTTGTTTTATACTTTGCCTATGTACATGTAACATATTTTTTAAGAACTTGGAAAATTTTGTATCATATAAACATGAAAAATGGGAAATAATTTTTACAAAAGTGACAGTTACAAATATTTTTCTTTCTGTTTATGTTATACATTATGCTCAATAGACAAACAAAGTTTAAAACAAATCTCTTCATTATTTTTCTAGAAATATGATTTTTAATGTCATAAGTCTGATTGGGCATTTTCACCGGCCTGTTAAAGAGGTACCCCAAAATCTCAGAAGCTAGTGCTTATTTTTTATAATATGCTACATAACAACAAAAATTAATTTGTTATATAATAATGTTTTTGTTCTTGTACATGTAGGCCTACTTTTATATAATTTCTTGCTTTGAAATGATTATAACTAAAATTGGGGTTGTCTGTGGCTGAGTGGTTTAGGTCGTTGACTTCAAACCACTTGCCCCTCACCGCTGTGGGTTGGAATCCCAACAGGGACTTTGGATTCTTTCATGTGAGGAAGCTATCCAGCTAGCTTACTGAACGTCGGTGGTTCTACTCAGGTGCCTGTTCGTGCCTGAAATAATGCACGGAAGGGCACCTGAGGTCTTCCTCCACCAGTAAAGCTGGAACGTCACGACATGACCTATTCTGTGTCAATGTGACGTAAAACCCCAAACAAACAAACAACTAAAATTGAAAAAAAAAACAAAAAAACGGCAATTAAAACAATGCAATGGGATCTGTTACAGTAACTCTCCTATGTTTTTGTAGTATCTTATTTAAACAGTAACTTACTGTTTAAAGAAGTTTTTCCAAATACATTTTATTAGCTCGACTATTCGAAGAATATGAGAGCTATTGTAGTCGCCCCGGCGTCGGCGTCCGCGTCAGCGTCCGCGTCGGTGTCAGCGTCCGCGTGGGCGTCTGCGTTGGTTAAAGTTTTTTGTAAAGTCAAATATCTCAATTATTACTTGAGATATTCAATTGAAACTTACAATAGTTATTTATAGTAACAAGGTACATCAGCTTGACAAGTTGGATAACTCTGCCTACAATATTGACAGAATTATGCCCCTTTTTAACTTAGAAATTTTGGTTAAAGTTTTTTGTAAAGTCAAATATCTCAATTATTGCTTGAGATATACAATTGAAACTTACAATACTTATTTATAGTAACAATGTACATCAGATTGACAAGTTGGATAACTCTGCCTACCATATTGACAGAATTATGCCCCTTTTTAACTTAGAAATTTTGGTTATAGTTTTTTGTAAAGTCAAATATCTCAATTATTGCTTGAGATATTCAATTGAAACTAACAATACTTATTTATAGTAACAATGTACATCAGATTGACAAGTTGGATAACTCTGCCTACCATATTGACAGAATTATGCCCCTTTGGAACTTCGAAATTTTGGTTAAAGTTTTTTTTGTAAAGTCAAATATCTCAATTATTGCTTGAGATATTCAATTGAAATTTAAAATTCTTATTTACAATAACAATGTACATCAGCTGGCAAAATTGCATAACTCTGTCTGCAATATTTGCAGAATTATTTGCCCCTTTGAAACTTAGAAATTTTGGTTAAAGGTTAAAAATCTTCAAAGATATTTACTTGAAATTTTACACATGCACTTAGGGTCATAATTGGAGGGGCATAATTGTATGTCACTGACCAAGTTCCATAACTCTATCTTGCATTAAGGCTGATTCATATCCCCTTTTCTACATAGTCTCTTGGTTAATGTTTAAATGCAAGTTTTACATATCTCAATAACTATTAAAGATATTTATTTAAAACTTCACATATGCATTTAGGGTCATAATTGTAGGTCACTGACAAAGATCCATAATTCTATCTTGCATTTAGGCTGATTTTTCTCCCCTTTTTCAACTTAGAAATTCATGGTAAAGTTTTGCTTGTAAGCTGTTATCTCAATAACTACTGAAGGGTTTGTGCCTTTTTTGGGACAATTTTATGCATTCATAATAATAAAGCAGTGATTTACTTGATAAAATATCTTAATAACAAGCTTTTGTACCTTTTTTGTCAATTTATGTATTCATAGGTAATTAGAATTATTATACTCAATAAAAAACCCTCGTGACATTCCCTTCCAAATAGTCAAGCCAATTCTGTATAATTAGACTCTCTCTAAGACCTATAACATGAATTTATATAAAAAAATTAGCCCTTTTGTGAACTTAAAAAATTTAACATTATCAAGGCTCTTACTATCAAGCACTTAGAATAGTCGAGCGTGCTGTCCTACAGACAGCTCTTGTTGTACATATAGGTAGTAAAGTTCATATGGTAATGTACAATATATGTATTATTTCTTATGTATTATTCTAGGTATTCTGTAATCAATTTAATCACAATATAAACAATAATTTTACAATCCACAGGCAGCAAATATTGATAGATATATACACTTCAAATGGACTTGTCCATCTTTCAGTCTGGACATTCAATCTGGACCAAACCATTCTTCATTTTTAGGGAAAATTTCTAAATAAGTGACTGAAGTGACCAGCGCAGACCCTAATCAGATGACAAAGTCAAAGCTGTCTGATCTTCCTCTGCTCTGATCAGATGGGTAGAAGCAGTTGACTCTAGCAGCCTAAGAGTTACCGTAACTTTTGAAACTTGTTTTTTCACAAATGTTTCAGTTGAGAATGAATTTCGTAGTATGATTGTATGGCTAGAAGATCAGAAAGTTCGACATTACAAGATTGAAGATAGGGCGGGACTTCGAAACATTGAGTCATCAGACTGGCCAAAGGCATTGGAAAATGTAAGGGCTTTACGTATGGTCTTTTTTTTTCCAGTCATTATTTCTTTGTAGTGAAATTATAACATTTATGTCATTTTGTGCATTTGATTTTGTCTTGTAAAAAGTGTGATGATAATCTGCAAAATAAATTGAAATGATATTGTCTGAATTTAGACTTCTAAAGGTATCAATATCAAAACAAGCTTTTGTGATTTAGATCTTTGTCTGTAGTCACCGTTTTTGCATAGTTTTTACAAAGCAATTTAACATAGAATTCATCATGACTTCTTTCTTGACCTATGGAATAGACACCAGAGCATAGTATGGCCATGATGGGTCTTTTTTTTATCAAAAATATCAAATTATTGAAAAGCACCCTTTTGCCTTGTTCTAATAAATTTTTGTGTGACATAATAATTATATGTTACTTGAAAAGTTGAGAATTTGAATCTATACAATTAGAAGTTTTAGTGTAGAATGGTAGGTGTACGTGTATTTAGAATATACAATATAGGCGTTTTTTCTTGTGTCATAGAAACTATGTTTAAGTTTATTTTCAGTATGTACAAGAGCTTGGTTGTCCGTACCCTATAAGTGAAAGGTTAGCTTTAATAGACTGGATGCTAGGTTACGCTGTAAGACTGGACTATGGAGACGAAGGTATGTAAATTAACCATTTGAAGGCCGAGGTTTTTGATAAACATTTGTAAATGCAATGAAAATATTTTCCCCTAAAATAATTTGACGGAAAATATTTTTAGTGATAAACTTTTGTCTATGTTATTGTTCTTAACAGAAGGGGTTGTGGGTCTGAGCCCGATTTGTGTCATGTATGTCCCTTCATGTGACACCAGTACTGGTTAAGTTCCAGGAAGTGGAGTTAAACATGGTTAATACAAGTTTAAAGAACTTGTTTTGCAATCAAGCTTAAATGAATGTGTTTAAACTAAACTATATATGAAAATGAGTTATATTTTATTGTTTTGTCACCGACTTGGATTAGTTTACTTTACTGCTGTTGTATCTGTCAGAGGATCAGATAATAGCTTTGATATTTTATCTAAGAATGGCAATAATGCAGTGAAAAGATTTATTTTAATCATCAATAAACACTATGATCTGCCTCTATTGATCAATTGCACTTGTCACCAGTAAAGAGCAAGGCAAATAGCTTTTCATTTTTAATATATTGACAACAAAATCATTGATACTAATGGGCAGCCTATACTTTATTAAGGGGCAATTTGTTTTAACTGTTTCCAAATTTTCCCTTTAATGGACAGATTGCTTTTCATTTAAGATTACATACATATGATTTCAGCGGAGAAATATAGATCCACCAAACCACTGACACTAGGTTCATCTGATGCTGGTAAAGTTCCACAGGGTGGGGCATCATCTAATCCTCTAGATGCATTAGATTGTAAGTTTTACAAATTGGTTATCAAAGATGTCTGACACTAAGGCTGTCATTGATGGAGTTTTTTGTATCAATACGTCAAAAGACAATTATCAATGATATATAAAATTATGTTGTACTTGTAAGTAGAGTGAAAAATGCTTGAATTTTTGTTATAGACTATGCTCATGGTGGTATGTAAAGTTTTTTTTGGATGTCACAAATACAATTAACATAAAGAAAAACTGCTTTTGCTATTTTTTTCTCACAGACTAAAAATTTAACTGTTAGTTAAAGCTTGCCATAAAATATGATAAGAAGTGACTTCTTTATTTACACAAAATGAAAAAATATTTTCACAAAATCAGAAGAAAAAAGATTTGAGCGTATTGATATTCAAAATTGTGTATGGATATTGTATGGAACAGTAAATATCAATGATACATCGATATTGGGATATTCATTGACAGCCCTATCGAACACCTATAATGATCATTTTGAGTTCTGTGACCAGGAAGTTAAAATACCTGCCTTTCAACCCAGGAATTGTGCTTCAATCACCATTGGGTGCACTGCCATGTTTCCTCATATGACGTCCCAGGAGTTAAAAGTGTTTCAAGAGATATTTCAAATAATGAGCTTAGATAAATAAATTTTAAACCACAGTTGAGATATTTAAAGTTCTTTTGGTGATTTTGAAAAAAATATCTTCCTTGGCAGGATGTTATTTGACACAAAAAACACAAAAGAGCAAGTCCAACAAAAGAATTCAGCAGTTTGGTTTAAACATATTTATTCCCGAAAGTATATATAATGTACATACAAATAAATAACAAACAAAATAATTTAACAGATTGGGAAAGGGTGAGAATGAAAGACAAGTCTCTTAGAATTCTTCTCCTTTATCAGTTTAAAGGTTAAACAATATTTTCATGAAACAAATTATCTATTTGGCTATACTTATGAATATCATAATATTAAATGATTATGTACATGTACATAAATGTTTGTTATTTTCACATGAAATAATTTTATTCTTCAGTTGAGGATCCAGATTTTAAAGCAGGAGTTACTTCCCTTGCAATGATGTTACAGATTCCTCCATATCATGATCATCTGGAACAGCTAAAGGTATTTACCTCCCCTGTTTGTTTTTTTTACCACTTCATATTTCTCTGCCTTTCCTAAGTATGTAATTTGTAACACATAAATGACTCTATTATTGCGCAATGTCAAATGATAAATGCTTAAGATAATGCATACTGTGCCACACTCAGTGTTTTCCACTATTTAAAGGACTCCATGGAGGTTTTAGATAAGACAGGACTGAAAATATTTTTCCAAGGTTTTTATACCTTTTGATGTAGGTCTTTACCAATAACTTGTGTTCAAAATAACAGATCTTTTACTCACTCTGTTTTTCCAGAATGATCTTTTTTGTGTTTTAAATGACCTAAAATGAATATTGTTGTAACTTTTTAACTCAAATCGGGGTAGGATCAGGCTTAATATTGTTTATCAATTTAATTCTGAGTATATTTGAGCCGCGTCACAACAAAACCAACATAATGGGTTTGCTACCAGCATGGATCCAGATCAGCCTGCGCATCCGTGAGGTATTTTTTAATGAGTGAAATTGTTGTCAATTGTACAAATGAAATGATTTTATTAAGCTTCAATGCCTTTTCTATCCACAAAATTTACTAACTACAGGTATTTGAAGTAAATAAGTAAAGAAAGTAGAGTAACACGTCAATAACACCGGAGTCGGCGTAATATATATGTACTTTATTAATCAACCTGTTTCTGATAAACAATGACCTTCATTAGGATAACTAGTCAAAATATGCAGAAATTTGACATATTCTGTTAGGTATGGCATAGAAATTTGGCAAGATAATTTAAAAATAAATACAGTTGACTCTCGGTAACTCGAAATCCAAGGGACTGGGCATTTTACTTCGAGAGAAACGGAATTCGAGTAACGTGAATCTGCCGCCATTACGTTGATATTCGTACATGTATATACATGTGCCTGACTGTATGTGCAAAGAAGTAGGTTTTTCTATTGTTGACAGCGGCAATGCACGTGTTTTTAATAAGCACTCACGACAATTCATTACAATAAAAGCACAATCACACATTTACTTCAACAACAATTTATCTAATATTTGAAGTGAATTGACCATCGGACGAAAACGAAAGTAACAACTATCGTAAACCGGAATTAATGTATGCCATATGACGGAACATTTATTATACAAATGTCATTTACCTTGATATCTAAGCTGTTATTTGACTAACACCTGTCAGGCTGGCACGAGTCAACTTTTTTAAAGAAATGTGTAAGACTAGTTTGCTGGTAAACTTAATTACAATTAAATCTTAATTTAGTTATCTTACTGTTAAAACCAATTAAGCCCTGAAACCGATTACATCCACTTTTACGACGTGTTAATAATACATGATGACTGGCAATTAAAATTACTATAAAACGTGTGAATCACGAGTGACAATGTCTCGCCTTGATGTCGCCGACCTTTGATCAGTCGGCTGTTTTCAAACTTCGACTAATTGAGATGAAAATATGTTGGACTTTAATTGACGGGACCAAATTTTCTTTTCGACTAAACAGGAGTCTCGGTTAGTCAAAATTTGACCTAAGCAGAGTTAAAATACAAAGATAAAGAAGGAAATATGACGGGACTTTAGAAATTCTTCGACTAACGCGGAATTTTGAGTAAAGCGATTTTGACTTATTGAGAGTCAACTGTAAATAAATTTAATCATATCTTGTATTAAACATACCAAGTTTTAATTTTTCTTGTAAATCTTAAAGGGACTTCATTGAGGTTTTTTGACATGACAGGACTGGAAATATTTTATTTTGAGATTTGTATACCATTTTATGAAAAGTCTTGATCAGTAACTTGAGTGCAGTTTCCCAGATCATTGGCTGACCTAGCTTTTCCAGAATGATCATTTTTTTTGCGCAAAACAACCAAAAAATTAAAAGCATTTAAATGCTTTTAACTCTAGAATGGTTCTAAAAAATTTACATAGTTTTATTAGCTCGACTTTTTTTTTTTTGAAAAAAAAAGTAGAGGTATTGTTATAGTCAGGTGACAGGTCGGCGTTGCCTTTGCCGTTGCCGTTGCCGTTGCCGTCCGAAAACTTGTACCTGGATCATAACTTTTTTATTACTTGATGTATTGTCTTCATACTTGGCCACAACAACCCTTGGGACAAGACCTTTCAGTAGACCACACTAACCTTGACCTTCATCCATAAATGACCTTGACCTTCAAGGTTAAAAGTCCAATTTTTGCTTGTTCATGCTCTTATTGGCTGTAACTTTGTTATTTTTGAATGGATTGTCTTCAAACTTGAACATAATAATCTTAAAGGATATCCCTTAAAAATAACCAGTCAGACCTTGACCTTCAGTCATCAATGACCTTGACTTTGAAGGTCAAATTATTGAAATTTTCATTTTTTTGGCTATTATTGGCTGTAACTTTGTTATTTTTGAATGGATTGTCTTCAAACTTGAACATAATAATCTTCAAAGATAACTGTTAAAAATATACCGAAAGACCTTGACCTTCACTCATTAATGACATTGTCTTTGAAGGTCAAATTATTGAAATTTTCATTGTTTTGGCAGTAACTGACTGTAACTTTGCTATTTTTGAAGGGATAAACTTCATATTATAACAGAACATTCTTAAGGACCAGACCTTGTTGTTTATCAAACCCAAATTTGCTTGGGCTCTTTAATGACCTTGACCTTGAAGGTTATATTACTGAATTTTCTCAGATTGTGCATTTATTTTTTGGTGTGTGTGTATGTATAGTATATGTATTATATATATATATCATTTTTTGATATTTTTAGAAATTGGGTCATTGTTGCTATTTTTAGAAATTGCGTCATTTTTTTCTATTTTTAGAAATTGCGTCATTGTTGCTATTTTTAGAAATTGTTGCTATTTTTAGAAATAACGTCATTGTTTCTATTTTTAGAAATTGCGTCATTTTTTTCTATTTTTAGAAATTGTGTCATTTTTTCTATTTTTAGATATTGCGTCATTTTTTCTATTTTTAGAAATTGCGTCATTTTTTTATTTTTAGATTTTATTTTTAGAAATTGTCATTTTTTCTATTTTTAGAAATTGCGTCATTTTTTCTATTTTTAGATTCTATTTTTAGAAATTGCGTCATTTTTTTATTTTTAGATTCTTTTTTTAGAAATTGTGTCATTTTTTCTATTTTTAGAAATTGCGTCATTTTTTCTATTTTTAGAAATTGCGTCATTTTTCTATTTTTGGATTCTCTTTTTAGAAATTGCGTCATTTTCTTTATTTTTAGAAATTGCGTCATTTTTTTCTATTTTTAGATATTGCGTCATTGTTGCTATTTTTAGAAATTGTTGCTATTTTTAGAAATTGCGTCATTGTTTCTATTTTTAGAAATTACGTCATTGTTTCTATTTTTAGAAATTGCATCATTTTTTTCTATTTTTACAAATTGCGTCATTTTTTTCTATTTTTAGAAATTGCGTCATTTTTTCTATTTTTAGAAATTGCGTCATGTTGCATTTTTTAGAAATTGCGTACTGTTGCTATTTTTAGAAATATGTGTAATGTTTTTATTCATATATAGATATATAAAATATATAAACAAAACTAGTGTGACAAGACAGACCAACTAAATTTATAAAAAGGAAACGTTAATATATGTTCAAACCTTTCTATGTTTGCGTTTAGAAAAAGTAAAAAGTCGAGCGTTGCCCCCGCCCGGCGGTGGCTCTTGTATACTTAATTTTGATTGCATTTCTTTACTATCAGTGGCATGTTTTTCAGTTTAAGTGGCCAAGATGTGAGTTTCAGATTGTATAGTTTTTAGACTTTTGGCCTTAATTTGAGCTCCTTCGATACAATTTTATAAAATATTAAAATGCTTTCTGAAATGTGATTTTTTTATGCTCCCCAAAGGGAGAGCAAAATTATAGTTGCCACTTTGTCCATTCATCTGGATGTCCGCACTACTGAAAAGGGATAGGGGGCCATCTTACTGTAAACTGAACAAAAGAGAATAATAGAGTTTTTTCCATAATAATAGAGTAAGGGGCCATTGGCCTACTACACTGGAGCCGCGATATAGCGCTCATGTTGGGGTCCATGATCTCAAGACAGCGTTGTAACGAGTAACTTTTTATAACGCTCATTTTGTAATTATAGCGAAAATATCGCATTACCCCACCCACCGCCGAAACATATAACGCTTGTTAGTGGAATTGATTGTTTACTTACCTTCCAATGGATATCAGTCCAAGCTTTTTATATATTATTATTAATTATTTTGTAAAGCATTACTGAATATCTTTAATATAAACATGAAATTTACGAATTAAAAATATAAACCACGAATGAATGTTTATAAATTTCCAGTAAAACAGCGGTTTTAACGTGAGTTATGTGTGGTCATGAAAATTGATACCTAGTGGATGGGACTAAATTAATCGTCTTTCCTGCTGTCTCTTGTGAAAAAATCAGTCATCCTCAACAACTTTTTTGCAGATAGATCGAAAGTGCATGCTTTTTAAAATTAATTGTATGCTTGGGTGATTTACTTAACTCGTCGGTGTTTGCATGTCTTAGCTAACAGTTTGATACCTGACTGATCAACAGTTCAAAATGAACAAAAGAGCGGATTAACGCTTACCTGTGTATGACTTCACACCTTCTTATCATGAGTGACGTAATTATGACTGTTTATTGCACTCGACTGACACATTGAACAAGCGTTATAGTGGATAAGGTGCGGTATTGATATACATGAAAAAAAAATTATAATGGGCGAAAAATACGATTTTTTTTTTGGGAGCCAAGGCATATGAGCGTTCTACTGAGATAAGCGCTATACCGATGAGCGCTATATCGCGGCTCCAGTGTATTAAACAAAAGAAAATCACAAAAGAAATGGCCCCTTATTCTATTTTAGCCGGACGTCCGTCCGTCCGTCCCCTTTTCTTGTCCAGGACATTCTGAAACAACAAGAGATATCCACAAAAAACTGTGTAGGTAAATAGATGTAAATAAGAAGTGCAGTGTAAAGGTACTATAACTCTACCTTGCCTAATTTTGGAGTTATTGTCCTTTGTTTACCTTTACACTTTGAACTTTGTCTGGGACATAACTCTGAAACTAAAAGAGGTATACTTTTCTGTGTCCAAAACCTATTTTAGGAGCATTACCTGGTTCAACTGGCTCTTGTTAACATTTTTCCATCTTGAGGTGAGCCTCTTTAATAAATTTAAAGATAAACTAAGGTAAAATGACTTTTATGAAGTTATAGTTTACATATTTTTATGTTTTAACATTTACTCTGGTTATTTGTAGGCAATATGCATTGTAGTAAAAGAAAAACTATCCAAAGAGTCTTTAGATAGGGCAGAAAAAGAATCACAGGTATGATAAATGTTTAAATCACTTAATTTTCTTTTATAAGTGACTGTTGTTTTTTATTCCCCCGCCAAAAAATGGCCGGGGCATATAGTGTTACCCTGTTCCGTCAGTAGGTCCTTCCATCATTCCCTCATCATTAGTTTCTGTTCATTATCTTAGGAACAGTTGCACCCATTCAACTCAAATTTGACATATGGATATATCATAAGAAAATATATGTCAAGTTCGAATTTGGTCATCATGGTTTGATGATTTTTGGCAGAGTTATGCCACTTTCACTTTGAAAATAATATGAAATTTTCAGTTTCTGTTCATTATCTCCCCAATATTATTACACATTCAACTCAAATTTGACATATAGATACTTCAAAGTATTGCGCAGGTCAAGTTTGAATTTGGTCACGGTTTGATGATTTTTGGCAGAGTTATGCCACTTTCACTTTGAAAATAATATGAAATTTTCAGTTTCCATTTATTATCTCCCCAACGGTATTACACATTCAACTCAAATTTGACATATGGATATATCATAAGAAAATATATGTCAAGTTCGAATTTGGTCATCATGGTTTGATGATTTTTGGCAGAGTTATGCCACTTTCACTTTGAAAATAATATGAAATTTTCAGGTTCTATTCATTATCTCCCCAATATTATTACACATTCAACTCAAATTTGACATATAGATACTTCAAAGTATTGCGCAGGTCAAGTATGAATTTGGTCATGGTTTGATGATTTTTGGCAGAGTTATGCCCCTTTCACTTTGAAAATAATTTGAAATTTTCAGTTTCCATTTATTATCTCCCCAACGGTTTTACACATTCAACTCAAATTTGACATATGGATACGACAAAGGAATGCGCATGTCAAGTATGAATTTGGTCATGGTTTGATGATTTTTGGCAGAGTTATGCCACTTTCACTTTGAAAATAATATGAAATTTTCAGTTTCTGTTCATAATATTCCCAATATTATTACACATTCAACTCAAATTTGACATATAGATACTTCAAAGTATTGCGCAGGTCAAGTTTAATTTTTGGTCATGGTTTGATGATTTTTGGCAGAGTTATGCCACTTTCACTTTGAAAATAATATGAAATTTACAGTTTCCATTTATTATCTCCCCAAGGTATTACACAATCATTCAACTCAAATTTGACATATTGATACGACAAAGGAATGCGCAGGTCAAGTATGAATTTGGTCATGGTTTGATGATTTTTGGCAGAGTTATGCCACTTTCACTTTGAAAATAATATGAAATGTTCAGTTTCTGTTCATTATCTCCTCAAAAGTATTACACATTCAACTCAAATTTGACATATAGATACATCTTAGAAATAAGCAGTTCAAGTTTTGATTGTTTTGGAAAAAGTTATCTCTCTTGAATGTTGGAAAAATTTTGAATTTTCAGTTTCAGCACTCATACTTTTGTGGAATGTATGTAGTCATTATTTGGCTTCAAATATGCAATATGCAATTTACAAAAGGTTAATACTGAATAGTTTCAGTGCCTTGAACTTTGTAATAAAATGGTTTGTGTTAACATTGAATAGGTTTAAGGGCTTTGAACTTAAAATGAAAATGCAAATAAATTTGGAACCAAATATTATTACATCTGAAATTTTGGCTGCTAGTGGAGGCCTCATCCATGGCGTGCCGACACATTTCTAGTTTTCTTCAATTTGTTTCTTCATTATTTTTCATTTACATTGCACAAAGTTACATTGTACTTTGCTTGTATTTATTTACCAATGACAACAAAACTTTCTTCAATGGTGATAATTGAAAACCTGGTTTTGTGGCATTGCCATGTTTCATGTTAAACAATAATTTTACTTTTTTTTCCCAGGGTGAACAGACAACAATAGACAGTATTAACCTAGGATTTGACACTGGAGGTAACATATATAAATATAATATAATATTATATAGATAAATTGACTACAAACCCTTTTTTCTATGCTTCAATGAAAATAGGCAAAAGTTATGTTATGAAATTCTTTATAAAGCTTTACTTTTTGTGATTTTTAAAATAAAATCTTATTCTTAGCCTATTCATATAATAAAACAATTATTGACTAGTGAGCCATTGAATGTGATGTGATGTTCACGGGCAAATAATCATATTGACCTAGGCTATCGCTTCAATCAAATATGTCGTGTACCGTTAAATAACACATCATATTCAATGGCTCACTTGTCAATAATTGTATAATTATGCAAGAAATTATTAATATCTCTTTCCATTCTAATATGCTAATAAAAAGAGAATTGATAAAAATACATTGAACTACATTAAGTGTATAAGTAATTTTCCTGACATTATTTGGTTAATTGATGTCATATCTGACATTATATGACATGTAAGCATTCCTTTTTCATGCTCTGGCATGTAATAATGCTTTTGATTGCCTGTCTGTTTGATAGGGAATAGTTTGAAGCGGTTAAGAATGTTGTTTTGAACTTGCAGTCTTTTTAGTACAACTTGCAAAACAGAGTAACCCTCTCAATATTTAATTGAAATAAATACATTTTATTGTCCAAATAATGCTTGATACCTCTTTTATATTGATCTCAAATGCTTATTAAATGTGAAAAATTTGTCTTCCAGATTACATCATCAACGAAGCAGCGAAAATATTACGGCTTCTTCATATTCGGGATTTACGTGAGCTTCAGTCAAGTATTAATCAGGCCATTGTGGCAGTCCAAACTGTTTACCGCCAATCCTAAAACAGACAGTCGACTTGGCAGAGTAGGAAGATAATGATTGTTTCATTGATGAAAGTGACTCGACTCAAATATTCCTGCATGGGCTATGCATTTGTAATGTGTGTTCAAAACTTACAAGAAAAAACAAAAACAATCCCTGAAAGGAACTCCACTGAGGCCCGAAAGCTGAAAAAATATAAAAACTGAAAATCTGGAGCACTTAAGATGGAATCATATGAAAAAGATAAAGAAATACATTCAAAATGAATTTGAAATTTAATATTTAGTGTGATTTTTAGCCCAGTTTTAGTTAAAAACACATTACATATTTTCAGGTTATTTTGCACAATAAAATTGATTATTATTTTGGCTAAAGAAAGTGAGCAAATGATCTGAAATTTTAGCACAAAAATTATTAAAAGTCATTGGTCCAGACCTAAACAGATGGTATAAAAATCTCTAAAAAAATATTTCCAGCCTGGCCATGTCAAAAAAACCTTAGTGGAGTTCCTTGAAATTATCTGCTTTGTTCTCGGTTGGTTACTTTTTACAATATGATACCTCATTTGCATATTCTATAACTTCTGAACTCAAAATAAAAGTACCTGTATCATAACACTATCAATTCTGTTAAATTGTCAAGAATGGTAAAAATCAGCAACAAATATAATATAGTATGGGTCAGACTTGAACATTTTGGAAGCCATACTACTGGCAGAAGCCTGTCAAGATATTTTATTTGTATATGCGTCTGCTCAAAAGTGTCATCATTTTGATGTTAGAAAAAAGTTACTATGTTATCTAAAATTTATTTTTTCATTTGTATGTACATGGAGTTTCTGGACGTTATCACGTTAACATATGGAAAATGTCAGCTCTGTTCTGTCAGCTCTGTTCTGTCAATCTGTTACTCTTATTTTCAACCTTTCTAAAGTTTTTAAAGGCCGGTTATGCCCCAGAAATGCTTTAGTTTTTATTTCCCAAAGGCTTTTTGTGCCCCCACTTTAGTGGCGGGCATTTAGATTTACCCTTGTCCGTCCGTCCGTCCATCCGTTCACTTTTGTGTCGCATGTAACTCAAAAAGTATTTGGCCTAGAGTCATGAAACTTTATAGGAATGTTGATCAGCATGAGTAGTTGTGCACCTGGGTATTTTTGTCTGAATATTTTTAGTATTTTTAGAGTTATTGCCCTTGACTTAGTAAAATTTTGCAATTTTCAACTTGTGTCGCATGTAACTCAAAAAGTATTAGACCTAGAGTCATGAAACTTTACAGGAATGTTGATCAGCATGTGTAGTTGTGCACCTGGGTATTTTTGTCTGGATATTTTTAGTATTTTTAGAGTTATTGCCCTTGACTTAGTAAAATTTTGCAATTTTTTCAACTTGTGTCGCATGTAACTCAAAAAGTTTTGGACCTAGAGTCATGAAACTTTACAGGAATGTTGATCAGCATGTGTAGTTGTGCACCTGGCTATTTTCGTCTGGATATATTTAGTATTTTTTTTGAGTTATTGCCCTTGATTTAGTAAAATTTTGCTTTGTGTCAAAAGTAACTCAAAAAGGATTTGACATAGAGTCATAAAACTTTACAGGAATGTTGATCAGCATGTGTAGTTGTGCACCTGGCTATTTTCGTCAGGATTTATTTAGTATTTTTAGAGTTATTGCCCTTGACTTAGAAATTTTTTGCAATTTTCAACTTGTGTCGCATGTAATTTAAAAAGGATTTGACATAGAGTCATTGAACCTTACGGGAAGGTTGCTCAGCATATTTAGTTTTGCACCTGGGGTTTCGCTTGTGGATTTTGTATGGAAGTCAAACTATTGATTTGTTTCTATTTGCTACTTTTATGACAAATAATTTCACACTCAGAGTTAGTTTCTTCAGGTGATGAGTTTCAAAAATGCTCTAAAACCATTACTTAAACGTTTTAAAACTCATGTTTGCCCTTTTAAGAATGGAAAAAATATGCGTTTCTGAGGCATAATGTACCTTTAAGTAAACATTATTCAATACATGACTTGATAGTTATTATATAGGTTAAGGCTTGGTCAAACAAGTCAAAAGATGTTGTATTTATTGTATAATTAACATATTTACAACCTGGTATTTCAGACTTTTTGACTTATCTGCCTTTCCAGTTTTACATCCAGATTGCTTGAAATTAATTGTTAGCTGTATTTTGTGATGTCAATTTTAAGACAGATTTATTATAAACAACCATTGATTTTTTTCAGTTTTCCATTTTCCCTTCATGACATATCTCCAATAAATGTCACTTTTTAGATAAAACTTACAGTTCTACCTAACAGAAACCTTGAAAACTGAATTTTAATTACATTTTACATAGCAAGAATGTTATTTCCATGTTTACTGAACAAGAATGGTATGAATTGTTTATTAAGCAAAAATGTTATTACAATGTTTACCCAGCAAGAATGTCATTGCAATGTTTACCAAGCAAAAATGCTATTACAATGTTTACTGGACAAGAAGTTTATTACATTGTTTACTGAGCAAGAATGTTGCTCCAATTTTATTGAGCAAGAATGTTATTGCATTGCTTATTGGGCAAGAATGTTATTACATTGTTACTGAGGCAAGAAATGTTATAGCAATGTTTAACTGGAGCTAGAATGTTATAACAATGTTTACTGAGCAAAGAATGTTTTAAGAATGTTTACTGAGGAAGAATTTATAAGAATGTTTACTGAGCAAGAATGTCATTACATTGTTTACTGAGCAAGAATGTTATGAGCAAGAATGTTGCTCCAATTTTTATAGAGGAAAGAATGTTATTACATTGCTTATTTAGCCAAGAATGCCTTATTGAGCAAAGAATGTTATTACATTGTTTATTGAGCAAGAATTTTTTATAACAATTGCTTATTGAGCAAAAATGTTTATTACAATGTTTTACTTAGCAAGAATGTTATTACAATTTATAACTCAGCAAGAATGATAATATAATGTTCACTGAGCAAGAATGGTATTACATTGTATACTGAGCAAGAACTTTATGAACAATAAATACTGTGCAATGTTTAATAACCATCCCATTATACAAGATGTACAAATACCAGGCTTTAATTGGTTTTCATATTGCAATCTCAATTGTGTTTCATATTCTTGCAATAATTTGAATGTTAAGGGTTATATGAAAGTTTTTCAGTTAAAAGTGCTAAAAATGTTTACATGCATAATTAATTTCTCAATTTTTCATCTGATTTAACTGTAAAAAAATGAAATCGTCATTCAGTGAAGGAGTATAAAACACTCGTTTCAAAATTGAACCGATCAACCCTCGGGGGTTGGGGTTTCTCTGTTTCTCTATCTAAGCCCAATTATGAATTAGAAACTGGTTGTGGTACTTTGGATTCTTTAATGTGAAGAAATCTATCCCCTTAGTTTTGTTTTTAGCTCAACCTGACCACGAAGTGGTCAAGGTGAGGTTATAGTGAGGGGCTATGTCCGGCGCCGTCGTCAACAATTGGTTGTTAACAGTCTAAGCAGTCACAGGTTTTTGATTGGATCATCATTCAAACTTTGTCAGAATGTTTGTCTCAATGAAATACAGATCGGTTCGAAGATGGGGGTCAAAAACTAGGTCACAGGAGCTAAAAATAGAAAAAGCTTGTTAACACTCTAGAGGCTGCAGTTTTCAATCGCAAATATTCTGGAAATTTGTCAGGAAGGTTGTTTTAAATGATATCTAGGTAAGTTCGAAGATGGGGTCATCTCCGGTCCAAAAACTATAGGTCACAGGAGCTAAAAATAGAAAAAAGCTTGTTAACACTAATAATTGGGTTTGTTAACAGTCTAGGCAGTCACAGTTTTTGATTGGATCATCATCAAACTTTTGTCAGAATTGTTTGTCTCAATGAAATACGTGATAGAGTTCGAAGATGGGTTATCTCGGTCAAAAACTAGTCACAGGAGCTAAAAATAGAAAAAGCTTGTTAACACTCTAGAGGCTGCAGGGTTATTCATCCAATATTCTGGAAATTTGTCAGGAAAAGGTTTTTTAAATGATATCTAGGTCAAGTTCGAAGATGGGTCATCTCCGGTCAAAAACTAGGTCACAGGAGCTAAAAATAGAAAAAGCTTGTTAACACTCTAGTGGCTGCGAGTTTTCATCCAAATATTCTTGAAATTTTGTCAGGAAAGTTGTTTTGATGATTTCTATGGTCAAGTTCCAAGATGGGTCTAAATCTCCGGTCAAAAAACTAGGTCAACAGGAGCTAAAATAAAAGAAAAGCTTGTTAACATTTTCTAAGGGCTGCAGTTTTATCCAAATATTCTGGAAATTTTTCAAGGGAAGGTTTTGTTTGAAAATGATATCTAGGTCAATTTTTAAGTATGGATCATGTCCTGGTCAAAGTCCTAAAGTCACAGGAGCCTAAAAATTTAGGAAAAAGCTTGTTAAACTCCTAGTGGCTGCAGTTTTCATCCAAATATTTTGGGAAATTTTGTCTGGAAGGTTTTTTGGAATGATATTTAAAGGTCAAGTTCCAAGATGGTTCATCTTCGTCAAAAACTAGGTCACAGGAGCTAAAAATAGAAAAAGCTTGTTAACAATCTAGGGGCTGCAGTTTTCATCCAAACATTTGGAAATTTTGTCAGGAAGGTTGCTTAGATAATTAATCCAGGTCAAGTTCGAAGAAATGGGTCTTCTCCGGTCAAAAACTAGGTCAATAGGAGCTAAAAATAGAAAAAGCTGGTCAACCACTTAGTGGCTGCAGTTTTCATCCAAATTATTCGTGGGAAATTGGTCAGGAAGGTTTTTGTTTTGATGATATCTAAAGGTCAAATTGGAAAATGGGTCATGTTCCCCCGGTTCAAAAACTAGGTCCACAGGAAGCTAAAAATTAGAAAAAGCGCGAACACACGCACTTTTTTCAACGGGCCGTATTTTGGAAAATTTGTCAATAAGAGTTTGTTTTGGCGCATCTCACCATTAAATCAAGTTTCGAAGGAGTATACATTGATCAAAAATAGGCCAGACGGTGCAAAATCGCTAGTGCGAAAAAAGCGTTAAACTGTAGGGCTGCGAGGGTTTTCATCCAAATATTTTGGAAATTTGTCAGGCAAGGTTTGTTATGAAATGCTTTTCAGGTCAGGGGTTCGTAAAGATGGGTTATCTCCGGTTCAAAAAACTAGGTCACAGGAGCTAAAAATAGAAAAAGCTTGTTAAACAACTCTAGTGGGCTGCTGTTTTGATTAAAATATTCTGGGAAAATTTGTCAAAGGAAGGTTGTTTTAATGGAAATTTTAGGTCAAGTTCGAAAGATTTTGGTCATGTCTTATAAAAACTAGGTCACAGGAGCTAAAAAATAGACAAAGCTTGTTTAACACTCTGAAATGGTTTGCAGTTTTCATCCAAAAACTATTCTGGAAATTTGTAGAAATGGTTGTTTTTGATTGATTTTCTAGGTTCAAGTTCGAAAGATGGGTCATACTCAGGGTCAAAAACATAGGTCACAAAGGAGCATAAAAAATAGAAAAAGCTTGTTTTAACAATATTTAATGGCTGAGAGTTTTTCATCCCAAAAGAATTCTGGAAATTTTTTCAAGAATGGGGGTTGTTTTTGATGATCCCAATTAAGTCAGGTTGGATAAGATGGGTCATCTCCGGTCAAAAACTAGGTCACAGGAGCCTAAAAATAGAAAAAGCTTGTATTAAGTCTTAGGGCGAGTTTTCATTAAATATTTTGAAATTTGTCGGAAGGTTGGTTTTTTAATGATTTCTAGGTCAAGTTCGAAAGATGGGTCATCTCAGGTCAAAAACTAGGTCACAGGGAGCTAAAAACTTTAGAAAAAGCTTTGTTTTCACCTACAGTGGGCTGCAAGTTTTGATTTCAAATTTCTGGAAATTTGTCAAAGAATTTGTTTTTTTATGTTTTTTCGTGCGGAGTCAAGGGGGTCGCTAAGATTGGTCATATTGTCCGGTCCAAAAAACTTAGGTCCAGCAGGAGAAAATAAAAAAAATTTTTATCTTTTTTTAACACTCTAGTGCTGCCAGTTTTGAATCCAAATTTCCTGGAAAATTGGTCAGGAAGGTTGTTTTGATGATTTCTAGGTCCAAGTTGAATAGGGTTGTGTCCGGTCAAAAATTAGGTCACATTGCCCAAATATGGAAAAATCTTTATAACACACTAGAGGTCAATGTTATTGGACTCAGTCGCATCAAATTGGTCATGATGCTTGTTTAAGACATTGCCTTGGATGCGGTTGTGTCAGGTGAGCGATCCAGGGCCATCATGGCACTCTTGTTTTTGTAAGCTATATGGTTCTAATCCACTGGTCTTCCTCAAACCAGGTAAAGGGAGAAAGTCGCCAATTAACCTTAAAGCAGCATGCCTCCTGATGAGCCAAAATTTTTAAAGAAATCAATATTGAAAAAAATGTACTAACATTTTAAGAAAGGATAAAAACATTCAAAAAAGATCCAAGTAATATTTTACATGTTATATGCGGTAAAGGACTGCTTTTGGTACTTTATCACCATATTTCTAATGCGCTACTAATGTAGTAAGGGCTGTTTTTGCATATGTTGACCACTTTGGGTAATTTTTAACCAGGTTTTCCGAAGGAAAAAACTGGTTATTAGATTGAGGTATGTCGGCGGGCGGATGGGCGGGCGGACGGGTGGCGGGGCGGGCGGGCGTTAACAATTTCTTCTGTGCGCAACTCCTTCTACATTTCTCAACGGATTTTGACCAAACTTTCACAGAAGCTTTGTCATCAAGTGCCCTGGCGCATATTGTCGGGGTTTTTTTGCGATTGGATAATATTTGACCTAATTATGGCCCTTTGTTTTTTTTCCTTAAATAGAATTATATAGTGAACAATTTCTTCTTTGCACAACTCCTCCTACATTTCTCAACGGATTTTGACCAAACTTTCACAGAAGCTTTGTCATCAAGTGCCCTGGCACATATTGTAGGGGTTTGCGATTGGATAATATTTGACCTAATTATGGCCCTTTGTTTTTTGTCCTTATAAAGAATATATAGTGAACAATTTCTTCTGTGCGCAACTCCTCCTACATTTCTCCACGGATTTTGACCAAACTTTCACAGAACCTTTGTCACCAATTGCCCTTGGGCATATTGTCTGGGTTTTGTGATTGATAATATTGACCTAATTATGGCCCTTTGTTTTTTTTTTTCCTTATACTGAATATATAGTGAATAATTTCTATCGTGCGCAACTTCTCCTACATTTCTCAACGGATTTTGACCAAACTTTCACAGAAGCTTTGTTATCAAATGCCCTGGCGGATATTGTCGGGGTTTTGTGATTGGATGATATTTGACCTAATTATGGCCCTTTGATTTTTTTCCTTATACAGAATTATCCATTTATAGTGAACAAATTCTTCTTTGCTGAACTCGTCCTACATTTTTCAACGGATTTTGTTCAAACTTTCACAGAAGCTTTGTCATCAAGTGCCCTGGCACATTTTGTCGGAGT